CTAAATTCCCAGGGTGTCTCACCACCATACTGTACATTTGTAGACAAATATACTAGATCAATAATTCCGCGTTTGACATGCATACAGAAAAGGCACGCGAGAATCTTCCTGACGCGCGAGGAATGACTTCACAGTAATACAATAATCCACAAACCAGAATTCTTCTAACATTCTGTTTAATCTCACTGCTGAGATTAAACATTCATTTCAAATCCCAGCCACAAGTAGCAAGAATTCCCCGCTCCTTCCAATCAATATGAATGCTTAATCTTTTAATTAGGATTAATTGAGACAGGCAACAGATATAAATGACTTGCCTGTTGAGCACAGAAACTGGTCTTTGAAGTCAGAGATAAACAAATGTAATTATGTGGTGAGAAAACATGTTAGCAAAACGATGTACCCTATGGGAGTACAGGCCTGGCCCCCAACCCCCAACCCCCAACCCCCCCCTTTTACTCATAGACAGTGAGGTCACCTCAAGTTCAGTTCCAGCATTCAGCTCGCCATACTGCTCAGGTCATAACTTGATACCTCCATATCTTCAGATGCCAAATGATCAGACTTTTGCACCAAACAGTCCAAACTTAATAAGCATCCGTCATACTTTATCAAAAATAGTCTGTGTTATGTTTCAAATGACTATTTCCAAATGACAGAAAACCAATCACTGGCTCTAACATATTCATGCCCTTTAGAAATATATTAGTTTTTAGACAGATGTGCAGGTAGTATTTCCTACAGACATACATGTGTTCATACATCATGTGTATATACATATATAGGACATATGCAGGTGTTTTATTTATATGCTTTTTTTCTTCATGTTATAGAGCAGCATTGAGCTCAGGGCCTGATAAATGGCTTGTCGTCGTCGGCATGCTGAGTGCCTTTCAGTGGGACGTTGTCGTTGCGGGCCACGTCATGGGAGGGCTGTGTTCTGTGACCCTAACGCGCCTGCCACCTCAGCACAGAGTCCTCAGGCTGGGACTGCACCCCCAGGTCACCCCGAGGCCGCCCCCAGGTCACCCCGAGGCCGCCCCCAAGTCACCCCGAGGTCGGCTACGTGAATGTGCACAGACAGACACCTCAGCGGTGATCCAAAACCTCTTTGCAACCCAAAACATGTGGGCTTTGGCCCCTTGTGGCTTTATGTCAGTCCTCGGGGACCCGCAGTCCGTCCTCTCTCCCGGCAGCAGCCAAAACATGGACTGGCTGCGGGTGTCTGAGAATCTGATTAGGAAACATTGCCTCTTGTCATTATAAAGAGCTATTTTTAGCATCTCACTGTGAGTACCCCCCCCCCCCCACCAGGGGGAGTCGGTGCAGACACAAACACAGACACACAGACACACACACACACACAGACAGACACACACACACACACACATACACACACACACAGATACACAGACACACTCACACACAGATACACACACACAGATTCGGTACGCCTCAGCAGAATGGAGTCAGCTTTGTAAAATGACGAATCCTCAAACATGCCGTTTCTCATGTTACAAACCTTTGCTTGTTGAATACATCTTGTATGACTCATTTCCGACGCATTAACCGATATATAAAATACACTCCGGCGAGAATTAAAAGTAAACTCTGAAGACATTCGGCTACAAATCTCTCCCCCATTCCCATCCAGCTTATTGGGCACGGCAAAAAATAACGAACGACTCAGTGATCTCCTACGAGTGCGTTTGCGTTTCAGGCCGGTAAATTATCTGGAAGTACAGAAATATAAACGAGGGCTCAAATGTCAGAGCGGAAATCATACATTCACAGCCCAGCACCTCCAACAACAAATATTTCCAGACAATGCTGGACTGGTGTCGCTGAAACAGATTAATACTCAGCACTGTATTACGCAGAATATAAATCCTGAAGCCAGGAGCCTGAAAGATTCTGTCAGCAAAGAGTTTAGCTGACTCCTTTTCCTGTAACTGTTTGTCTGCCAGCTTCTCTGGATGTGCCTGGTCCTACACACTCCCCGCCAAATACGCTGTGCGTTTAAGGCTTTGGGCGTGACAGCCTGAGATAGGCCAAGGACCAGGTCCATGCGTGCCGTCAGAACCACAGACAAGCTCCTGATGGGAGAGCTCTGAGCTGTGAGGACGGCAGGCAGAGACCAGGGACTGAACGGTCGTGGTTTGACAGCACATATCTGTGTGGGTGGAGCCTGGGACTTTGGCATGGTAATATCTTCTGGTAGGAGGTAGGGCAAGGAGAGTATTATGTCTGTCCTGCTCCATCTCCACCCACCTAGGCAAGGAGAGTATTATGCCTGCCCTGCTCCATCTCCACCCACCTAGGCAAGGAGAGTATTATGTCTGTCCTGGTCCATCTCCACCCACCTAGGCAGGGAGAGTATTATGTCTGCCCTGCTCCATCTCCACCCACCTAGGCAGGGAGAGTATTATGTCTGCCCTGCTCCATCTCCACCCACATAGGCAGGGAGAGTATTATGTCTGCCCTGCTCCATCTCCACCCACATAGGTAGGGAGAATCATTTCATTTGGATATTCAGCATACAAGCTCTTCAGTAGCTTAGCACATCTAGGCTACCAAATTGACACACTGACACGGATTTCATACACTGACACTGATATCACATACTGACACTGATATCATATACTGACACTGATATCACATACTGACACTGATATCACATACTGACACTGATATCACATACTGACACTGATATCACACACTGATAATGACAATGACAATGATACTGATTTCACACACTGATGCTGATATAACATACTGCTGTACCTGGCGGTTACAAATCTTAAGAAATCTGGGATGAAATCTTAAAATGGCAATTTTCATAGTAACATTATTATTATTTCTTGTATTTTTAATGTGGTTCAGCTGCTTGTCTTCAATAGCTAAATTGTTAAAGTGAACAGAGTTTGCAGCAAAGAATCAAGGGAAAAGCGAGAAAGAACCAGGTTTGTGGAGGCTGACAGTTTTGGCGACGTGGGGAGGAAGCCGTACATCAGCCGTCAGGCCTGGTATAAATCCACCCCCGCCCCCCCACCCCCCATGAGCCTGTGACGGCCAAACCGCTGGCCCATCATCGGCTCTGCTGCAGCGGAAACATTTATCTCCACTCACAGCTGCTGACAGGACGGGTACTGGCTCAGACCCCTCAAGCAGACGCCATCTATGCTGTAGACAATACCTTTCAGAGATAAATCAACAGCATCTCAACAGTGCAAAAGTACTCCCATTGGATGTCGCGTTGCACATACTGCTGGAAAATCGCATGTCCCAAAACACACACCAACACAACAGCGCGTGTGTGTGACATGCAGTGTAAATTTGTTCAGATCCCTGCTTTTTTCCCCACATACATAGTGTCCTAACAAAGTAAGAGTGTTATTAGAGCCGCTGGGTGAACTGGCTGGGCTGTGGAGCTCTCCACAACGTTTCCTGATGGATCGAGCAGCTCATTCCACAAGTTCATGACCAGAGGACGACCACAACTTTATGACCCTGAAACACGACTGGTGAAGGAGAAGGCAATCCAGGCACAGGGACCCGGATCACAGGGGCAAGATGCACTGCATTTATATATTCAGCAGATACCATCCATCCATCCATCCATTTTCTCTAACCGCTTGTCCAATGCAGGGTCACGGAGGTCCAGAGCCTAACTTGGAAACTACAGGCACAAGGCAGGTTATGACCCTGGATGGGTTGCCAACTCATCGCAATATTTAGCAGATGTTTCGGTGTAAAGAGAGCAAGGTCAGACAGTGTCCCTGGTGCGGCTGGGGTTGAGGGCCTGATGGTGACCTCACTCTGCCAGCCAAGGGATTTGAACTAGCAACCTTCTGATCACGAGTCCTAACCTGCAGAGTCGCACACCTCCAGATAGATCAGACACTGCCAACACTCCAAGTCTATCTATGCTAAATTTATTGGGGAACAGACTGTTTAGACTGACATTTAAATGGACCTGAGATATCAATATAAAACTCAATGTGTGATATGGCCACATCTATTACATAATTGGAATGTGATCATTTACAGATTAGTTTCATTAAGATCCTACCTATGTGGAAGAGACGATGGAATAAGAGTTATATCGGTGTTCTGCATTTTTCATCAGGTTTGTAATTACTCCGAATGTTCCTCGCTCATAACGCCCCCAAACCATTCTCTCTGCTTTTCCATCTCTTTTTCAGAACCACTTCATTCCTCTGTGTGATTTTTGGCAGAAAGTACAGCCCATAAATTCTGTCTCGTAGAGCCAGAGGTGACTGATGAGTGACTGACAGTGGTTCTGAAGCTGTCGTGTTTAGGTCACATGCTCCTCCAGGGCCCCCCGTGTCCTTCCACATCATTAATGATGAGGCCCTCTCAGACCCCATAAATCTGCAGGTGGGGCACCTTGAAGATGCTGAAGAACAGGACCTATATTCGCTACAGGGACATTCCCAGCATATCATCAGCTGAGATCGGCCATCCGACTATATGAATGAAAAACAGTGAGAAATCCTGAACAGCTTAATTCTCTATTAGGAAGCATAATTTTTCAATGAAATGGCGCACAGGCCTTTGACAGTACTGAGATGTATCTGAAAGCTACTGGCTTGAAGCTGCAGAAGATGAGCCATCTGGACCTCACACAGATCCCGTCCTCACTGGGACGGTCAAAATTAATCAATCGATCAAAATGACATTCAGTGTGGCTCACTGGCATTGAGTTTCCTGGCAAATCTCTTAAAATAAATCAAACTAATTAGGCAATATGGCAGCAAGGGGCACTGCTGTAATGTAATCCCAGTAAATGCATAGGTACAATCAGACACACAGCACAACTTCATCAGTGCCCTTATCATTTCTTAAGTTTCCTCAGAGTACAATCAGACTGATGGTGCGATTTCTTGGCTGGGGGAACAGTCAGACCAATAATGCAATATTTCAGCTCAGGGGTACAGTTAGACTGATGGTACAATTTCCCAGCAAGGGGGACTCACCCAGATGTTACCGTCCTGCTGATATGGCTTCCAGTTCCTTCCTGTGTCGCTGTAGAGCAGTCTGTATTGCGTCGTCCAATCAGAGCTGCTGTACCTGCCTTGTGTTGCTATGGCGGTGATCTGCTTCCTACCACCCAGGTCCACTTGCAGCCACTGGTAATGGTCATTATCCAGTGGGGACCAGCCTCCCGCCCCTGGCCAGAGAAGAAAGGCAAAATCGCACATGTCAGTAGTATCCTCATGGCGAGACAGCCTGAGTGGGACAAGGCTGTCCAAACTGTCCTCACGGCGAGACAGACTGAGCGGGACAAGGCTGCCCAAACTGTCCTCACGACGGGACAGACTGAGCGGGACAAGGCTGCCCAAACTGTCCTCACAGTGCTCTGAGCTTGGGACAGAATCATTGAGCTCTGCTATTATACGATAAGGTTGAGGTGTATTTCCCATCATCAGCATAGTAATGATGTGTGTTCTTTTACATTCCAGCTTCACTGACAGCAGAAAGAACCAGCAGGGCAAGACTTTAATAACAGTCAGACATTCAAAACCATTACATTAAAGACCTGAGGCAAAGCGAAGCACGTCCCACTGGGTTTGTATGGAGAATACACAGCCATGACGATTAGGGGATTGTTTACTGTCAATCGAAATGACTGCGAGGCAATCTGAAAAATTACACCGCCGTGAAAGCATAATCTCTGCCTACAGTATAAATCTATTTCTTGGAGATTAGATGACAAATTGGTTTTTAAGTGCAGGGAGTTAATTAATATGCTTCTGCCTGTGTCCTCCTTGCAGTAAGGAGACCTTAAATCAGTCAGGACCATTTTCTTATGATGTTTAGGGACAGAGTAGGATGGGGAGGTAAATGGTATCGCCTGATCAGCAGGCATATCAGAAGCAGGGAAATCCAGCATAATCCAATTAGCCGGTCATAGGAGCTGGAGCCCAAACTGATACAGGCGGGACACTGCAGAGGAATCGATACCAGCGAACGGCAGGCTGGGAACATGGCAGGAGAGAGGAGCTGATTGGAGGACGGTTCCAGAAATGCACAGAGGTTGCAGGGTGGGGCGGTCTGAGGGGGTAGACGATCACACCATACTGAGGGGTGCAGGGGCGGTCTGAGGGGGCAGGCGATTACACCACACTGAGGGGTGCGGGGGGGATCTGAGGGGGCAGGCGATTACACCACACTGAGGGGTGCGGGGGGGATCTGAGGGGGCAGGCGATTACACCACACTGGGGGGGTGCAGGGGGGGGACTCCCATCCAGCTCTAGCCAGCCATGAAAAACGCACAGGGGCGAGTCGGAGGAGAGGTGAGCGAGGATGAGAGACAGGACAGCAGGGCTCTGGGGAGCTGAAATGAATCCACACGGCTGCCAAAGCTTCCCTCTGTCACCAGGCTGACAAAGGTGAGGAAACACTGAAATAAACAGGCATCATGTCATGGCTGCAGCAGCCTGCTTCCTGCCTGCCTGCCTGAGCTGCTTCTCTGGGTCTGTAGGTGACCTCGTGACCCAGCCTAGGCCTGATCTGCTTCCGGCCTGTCACACCCAACTCTGAATCCGACAATAAAGCGTTTTAGGGCGCAGGGGTAGCCGGGGTGACGCTTCACACGCGGACGATCCGACCGTGTCCCAGACTAATGAGGTTCAACTGTTTGCTGAGGGAAGATGCAATAGATTTATAATACAGATCAAGGCAAACTGTTAGTGACTAAAGGTACGATTTCCTATTTAATTTGGAATGTAAAACCCTTCAAAATGAACACAAACTAGTGCTTATGTATCTTAAGGATGCGTACATGCAATGTCACACCAGAAAACATTCGCCTAAAGCTCAGGAGAAGGATGTTTAATTAATACAGCACCAGCCCTTCCAAATGTGTCGTCCTTGAGGAGGATGGGTAATTAATGAAGCACCAGCACCTCCAAATGTGTGCTCCTTGTGGAGGATGTGTAATAATGAAGCACCAGAACCTCCAAACGTGTGCTCCTTGAGGAGTATGTGTAATAATGAAGCACTAGAACCTCCAAATGTGTGCTCCTTGAGGAGGATGTATAATAAGGAACCACCAGAACCTCCAAATGTGTGCTCCTTGAGGAGGATGTGTAATAATGAAGCACCAGAACCTCCAAATGTGTGCTCCTTGAGGAGGATGTGTAATAATGAAGCACCAGCAAATCCAAACATGTGCTCCTTGTGGAGGATGTGCAATAATGAAGCACCAGAACCTCCAAATGTGTGCTCCTTGAGGAGGATGTGTAATAATGAAGCACCAGCAAATCCAAACGTGTGCTCCTTGTGGAGGATGTGCAATAATGAAGCACCAGAACCTCCAAACGTGTGCTCCTTGAGGAGGATGTGTAATTAATGAAGCACCAGCACCTCCAAATGTGTGCTCCTTGTGGAGGATGTGTAATAATGAAGCACCAGAACCTCCAAACGTGTGCTCCTTGTGGAGGATGTGTAATTAATGAAGCACCAGCACCTCCAAATGTGCGTTCCTTGTGACACTAAATTTGTCATTGTATATGTCATGCGCTGCGTAATTGTATGATTTCTATCCTAAGAAGTTCTTCTTCAGCACAGTGAGTGATTATTACCATCCCACGATTCATTCCCATTGGGATGCATTACCTTGAACGGCACACGATGCCTGCCGACCTTCTGAAGCAGCATGCTGGTAACAACGCAGCCAAAATGCACTGACAAGAGGGCCGTCTGTGTTTCAAACATTAAATACTATCGCAGTGGGGGAACAGATAAGTGTCCTCAGATGCACTGCATCCCCTATTCAAACACCAGGTAAACTACAGATGACATTACAAAAGAAGCACACTTAGGAAATGCTACACACGCTCTAGCCGTCTGCCGGTGGAATTGTTGCCTCCCACTGTAATGGTGAAGTCTTTGTGTTTCAATAATGAAGCTCAACTTTGACAGAAAAACAAGGCCATTTAAAAAACAAGAAAGAATAAGTTTTATTTAGAATTAGATATGAGATGATTCTGATACCATGATACCATTGGTTCAATTTTCAAGAAGGTTCCAGACCTTCATGAGAACATAGGATAAAGAGGTAAAGGAGAGCTGCAGAAAGTATGGGCTGTTTGTTAGCCATCACAATGTCACACTATGGTGCTCCGACATTCCACCAGGCTCAAAATACCGGAGGAGATACACAGAGGCTACTGCTGTCATCCATGGGAGGAGATACACAGAGGCTACTCCTGTCATCCATGGGAGGAGATACACAGAGGCT